AAAAAAAAAAAAAAAGCCAGCGTAAAAGACACCATAAACATAGTTAAGACATACTGGAGGAAGTATTCATAACATGTAACAGACAACAAAAATAAAGACATTATTTTTTTAAACCCCACAAATCAATAATTCTTAAAAATATATTCCATGGTATACGGACATATAAATCAATGGCATACAATTGAGAGCCCAGAAATAAACCCTTATATCGATAGTCAATCACTTTTTGACAAGGATACAAGAATTTTTTTTGAATTCCTTTTTGACAAGGAATTCAGTAAAAGAACGAAAGTCTTTTCAAGTAATGGTCTGAGACAACATGATGATACAAAAATTATTCAAAATGATGATTTTTTTTTTTTTGAGACAGATTTGCATTCTTGTTGCCCAAGCTGGAGTGCAATGGTGCGATCTCGGCTCACTACAGTTTCCGCCCCATGGGATTCAAGCGATTCTCCTGCCCCAGTCTCCCAAGTAGCTTGGATTACAGATGTGTACCACCACACCCAGCTAATTTTTTGTATTTTTAGTAGAAAAAGGGTTTCACCATGATAGCCAGGCTGGTCTCAAACTCCTGACCTTAGGTGATCTGCCCACCTAGGTCTCAAAGTGCTGGCATAACAGGCATGAGCCATTGCACCCAGCCTTAAAACTCTTAAAAGAAACCACAATCGGGTTGGCATGGTGGCTCACACCTGTAATCCCAGCATTTTGGGAGGCCGAGGTGGGTGGATCACAAGGTCAAGAGATCGAGACCATCCTGGCCAACTTGGTGAAATCCCATCTGTACTAAAAAATACAAAAATTAGCTGGGCAAGGTGGCACGTGCCTGTAGTCCCAGCTACTCGGGAGACTGAGACAGGAGAATCACTTGAACCCAGGATGAAGAGGTTACAGTGAGCTAAAGTCGTGCCACTGCACTCCAGCCTGCCTGGCAACAAAGCGAGACTCTTGTTTAAAAAAAAAAAATAGAAACCACAATCATAAATCTTTGTGACTCTGAATTAGGCTATGGTTTCCTAAATTACAAGCAGCAGAAGAAAAAGCAGAGATGAACTTAACTGACCAAAATTTAAAACTTTACACTGCAAAGAATAAAACCAAGAAAGTGAAAAGATAGCCCAAAGATGGGAGAAAATCTGTGCAAATCACATATATGATAAAGGTTTAATACCCAGAATAAAAGACATATTACAACTCAACAATAAAAGGACAACTAACCCAACTGAAAAATGGGCAAACGACCTAAAGATCTTCATTTTTCCAAAAATGATTTACAAATTGCCAATAAGGACATTAAAAAATGCTTGGCATCATTAGCCATCAGGGAAGCACAAGTCGAAACGACAGTGAGATGCCACTTCACATCCACTAGGGTTATAACCAAAAAGACAGATAATTACAAGTGTTAACCAGAATATGGAAAACCTGAAACTCTCATATGTTGCTGCTGGGAATGTAAGATGGTAGGGCCACTGCTGAAAACAGTTCGGCAGTTCCTTAAAAATTAAACAGAATTGCATACTAGACCCAACAATTCCACTCCTAGGTCTATATCCAAGGGAGCTGAAAACATATGTCCCCACAAAAACACACATGAATGTTCACAGCAACATTATTCATAGTAGCCAAAATATGGAAACAAGCTATCCATCAATTGGCAAATGGATAACAAAATATATTCTATCCATACCATGAAACAGTATTTAGCCTTTAAAAGGAATAAAATACTGATACATGCTACAGCATGAATGAACCCTGAAAACATGCTAAAAGAAAGAACAGGCATAGGGGCTCCCACCTATAATCCCAGCACTTTAGGAGGCCAAGGCAGGAGAATCATTTAACCCCAGGAGTTCAAGACGAGCCTGAGCAACCTAGCAAGACCCCATTTCAAAAGAGGGGAGAGGAGGGGAGGAGAGAGGAGAGAGGGGAGGGGGAAGGAGAGGAGGCAGGGGAAGGAGGATGGGGAGGGGGAGGGAAGCAAGGAA